ATATATATATATATATATATATATATATATATATATATATATATATATATATATATATATATATATATATATATTAGAACTTCTTCATTTTGTGAAGATTAAGTAAGTTAATTCCTGCTCAGAACAGTGTCTGGCATATCGACAAATATTAACTATTATTGCTTTTAGAGGTATGTTTGTTTGTTTGTTTGTTTTAAAGATTTTATTGGGGAATTGGGGGGATGGGAACAGCACTAGGGAATTGGGGGAAGGGGAACAGACAAGTTGCTGTCCTTTCCTTCTTCAGTCTAGTTGTGGAGGATGTTGCTTCACTGGCCCAAGTTGGCACCATCATTGCACTCTTCCCAGGTAAGGCAGATTAGTCGCTGGCTTCTGAACGGCTGCTCACGCTGGCCTCTGGCTACACATGGTAGCCCATGGCAATCCACTGCCGCAGAGGCTGCAGCCTACGCCATTGCAAGCGACTCACGGCAGCCCAGCTGCAGGTTGAGCTGTTGTTCAGCATCTTAGCTGTAGAGGGCAGCGTCACTGGCCCTCATATGTGGGATCCGAACCGGGGCACTCTGGTATCCCAGGCCAGCTCTTAACCAATGCACCACTTGGCCGGCCCTAGAGGTATGTTTTTCATAATGCTCCAAGGTTATAGCTAGCATCACCTGGTACTCATATTCTCCCGGGTGTATTGGTTGGGTTACTTGTATTAACTTTTTTTTTTTTAACCAAGAGGTGTTGGAGGTAGGGGCCACACTACAGGCTCAACAAAAGATCTGGATAATAAGTTAGAGACCACATGTAAGACAACCTTGTTAGGGATCAGTCTACAAAGCATCCATACTTGTTGGCCACTTCTTTCTCCAGCCTCTTTCAGCTTTAATCACCAATGTCAATCTCCTACATACTCAACATAGCTCAATTTCTGAGTCGACCTGAGAAATCATGGAGGATGTCAACTCCTCTCAGTTGTAGGGCTGACATTTATTTTGCTGCTGCTAAATCTGATACCTACAGTGCAGGGTACTTGCATTGTCTATGAATTTTTAAGTTATTTATGCTATCCTCATACTACCCCAAATATACCCATATGATTAGGTTTCTGCTCTCTGGATAGATTAATTTTTCTGTCCATGACTCTCTGGTTTTGGACCCTGTGCTGAAAACTGCTCAATTGATATCCCTACCCTTTCTAACCACTCCTTTGGCTGTTCTCTGTACTTAAAAGCATCTATTATTAAGACTCTCAAGTACTGTTACTTATCTGATTTCAAGCAAGACCAACGGCTTGAATATTCTCTTGCAACTGAGTCATGACCCAGAGTTTGACTTCCTCAGAGACTGACAGTATCTTTAACCATGGCTGGGTTAGAAATGTTCCTGGACGTTGTATTCCTCTTCTTGTTCTGTGTTATAATGCACTTAGAGGGGCTAGCTTTGCCGTTTTAATTTTCTTATCACATGTACTGATTTCTATACTCTTGCCAATTTGGTAGTATGAAATGATAAAAAGGAATGCAAACTCAAATCTCTAAGGTCTATTGTCAAATGAAATATGTACAAGATGACAATTTAAATAGTACAAACGCGTTCATGATGAAAAGCAGCAGCTTCTCACTTTATCCTTTCCTACCCTACCTTACTGTACAGAGGTAAATTGTTTTAGCTTTTTTATTTTTAAGTTCTGGTGATTTTTTTCCTGTGACTCTAAATAATACTTATATCTCTTTTTCTGAACATTGCAACCCAATACTCCTTTCTCCCATATTCTTTTTCATTATTATTATTATTTATTTATTTTTATTTTATTTTATTTATTTTTTTAGCTGAGCCATCCTGCCATCTGTTGGCAGCTCAGTGGCAGCTCAGCTCAGGCCCATGTGGGACTCGAACCTGCAACCCTGTTGCTCAGAGCTTGCACTCTTGAGCAAGCTGTTAACCAACTGAGCCACTCAGCCGGCACCCCCCTATTCTTTTTCACTTTCCTCTCTATTTTCACCTTTTCTCTTTCAAATTTTGACAATTATATGATTATTATTATTTTGAGTTATTAATTTATTTGTTGCTTTTGCAACTCTAAATAATATTTTTATTTGTTTATTTTTTGTTATATCTCTATTAAAATGAGAATGATTGCTCCTACACCTTTCTTCCCACTTTTACTTCCTATCTCTTGTCAGCCACACTTTTAATTTTACTTTGTTAAGGTTAACGTTTAATTTTGTGCAACAGCTATGACCAAGTGCTCATGTTTTATAGAGAGGCTAACTATAGTCAATGAACTTTCACATGATCATGACTCTTTTGGACCAAGAAATGCTCTAAGATTATGCTTCCCTGTTTATAAGTCCCATGTGTCCATTCTGATTTGTTAAGAGAGGATTACTCCTATCATTAAGGTCCTTTCTTGATGCCTGGTCTTTAAAATATTTTGAGTCTGTGAGCACTGGTTTGTCATTTTTACGCATTAACTTTTTATAACATTATCTTAGAACAAAGAATGAGACAAATATCTTGTAAAGTACACATATCTTGTAAAATACCGAGTCTCATATTTGAAAGAAACCCCTTTTCATTTAGGGGTAGGTGGTGGGACAATTTCTACTCATCTTCTAGGTTATCCTAGGACAAGTAATTTTTACCTATTTTGCCTATTGCCATTTCCCCAGAGTGTGGAACAGTCCCTGGCAAATAATAAGTATATTGTGGAATCAGTGAAAAGTAATGTTCCCTGCTGTATTCCCAAGACCTACAAAGTGCTTAGCATCATAGTAGATGCTTATTAAATTTTTGTGACTGTGTGATTAATTTTTATTTCTATCTCCTTCCTGGCTCTCGTTTTTTCATCAGGAATTCCCTGTTATGTTTGTTTTCTATATCATTTTTTAGGTTATACTATCAGGATGAATCCAAGAACTCCAAGGGCAGAACTGTTTCTTTGCTAAATTTTGACCTAAGGTCTGAGGCTGAAATATTTCTTGCACTCCAGTATGTGTTTGTACTTCAGTTATTAGCATAAAATCGGCTGTTCTAAATATAAGATGTTTTATGTAAGCCTCATGGTAACAACAAAGCAAAAATCTATATAGATACCCAAAAGAGAAAGAGAAAGGAATCTGAAAAGAAAAACGTAATATTGTAGTTTAAGGGAGACTATAGGGAAAGAGACATATCCTGGAAGCTTAAATTTAAGAATGATCTCTAAACTGCTAGCTACTTTTCCTTGTCATTTTGGGCTGCTATAACAAAATTCTGTAGACTGGGTTGCTTAGACAACAGACATTTATTTCTCACAGTTCTGGAAGCTGGTAAGTCTGAGATCAGGGTGCCAGCATGGGTGAGGGGGACAAAAACATTCAGTCCATGACAGTACTGTAAATGAAGTCAGGGGCCCTGATGATGTCTTTATCACATAAATATCACGTTTTCATTTCCTTCGCCTTAACAAACCTATTTTCTTTCATCTATGAAAATTTTGGGATTTAATCAACAGCTCAACCACGACTTTGTCAACTCAAAAACAAAGGTTTTTGTGTCTTTACATACACTGTATCTACACTGTGCACATTAAAAGCTTTTGCTCATTGGTCAAAATATAATATTCAGGAAAAGAGAAAGATGAAGGTATGTGTATTAGTTTTTTTCACTTGTAAACTTGTATTTAAGATTCTTCTTTGTAGTAAAACAGGCTTTTCACAGTTTACAAAGTTATTTCTGAGTTGCAAAAACTCTCTCCATGTTTTTTTCCCTGTATTCCCCCATTCAGTCTTGATTGCCATAATCAGAGAGACAGAAAGCATGAGGACCCCTTTGTCTTCCATCTGCGCTGGAACCTTGGCAGCAGACAGTACTAAATAGACGTACTAAAATTTTATTAGGTATAGTGATTGTTTTTTTAGGGTATTGCTAATTTTTTTGTTTGAATGAATAAAAACAAATTGGATAATTTGACATAACACACTGATCTAGTGATCTCAACATATTTATGGAAGTTTCTGCTAACTGTTTTTGGGTGTTGCTTTCTCAATTTCCTTTTTTTCTTTGTTTGATCTCCCAAAGTGAATCAAAGGAAACCTCAGCTCTGAAAATATTTCTTCTTTTGTGTTGTGTTTTATATTGGCAACTGTATAGTCTCAGCAGAATAGGTAAGGTTGCTGTTCACTCAAATATTTCTGAATATATTCTTTTACCCACAGAAATATACCCTTTAGGCCCTCCTTTAGAGCTAAAATATTTTGGACGATCTCATCTTTAGCCTGCTCCTAGGTAGAATTAGCTTCCCCAGCTCTTGTGGCTGAGAAGCAGATAACCTATTTGTCTTCCTTTTTGTCCTAGTAGAAGGAGGCCCCTATTTCCAGATGATGCCTTGGGCCATTGCTATTGTTTTCATCTTACTTCTTGGTGCCTGCTTTATTGCAAGTAGTTTGGGTAAGTTATTAGCAAAAGTGGAGCTCACCTTGAATTATTTTCCCAAACAAATTTCATAAAATTGCTCTAAACCTTTTGTTATCTTGATTTCCCCCAACATATCAATCTATAATATCTTCAGAGTCTTGGATTTAAAATTCAGGGCTATATACTCGACCTGCTATTCTTTAATGGTGCTGCTTTGTGCCAGGGAATGAAAGATGGAACTTAGACCCTTTTCTATACATGTGAAGGTTGGTGACTGTAGTAAATCATCCCCTATTTTGGACTAGGATTATAAAAGGTTGCCTCTTATGCAAAAAACCAACTTTCAGATGGACTGCAGTCTGGCTTTAGTTGGAAGACCTGTTGTTTCTGATATCAAGACCCTCTATAATGTTATTATAATTAAAATAATATAATACAGATGCAAGTATAGGCAAATAGACCAGAGGAAAAGAATAGAGAACTTAGTTACAGATCCCGCATATATAAACTCTTTATGTAAAACAGAAGGGAATATTACAGAGCTATAGGGAAAGGGCAGTTTTGTTCAATTAATGGTGTAGAGATAATTAGTTATCCATAATTAAAAAATGAAATTGCTGGGCTGGCCGAGTGGCTCAGTTGGTTAAGAGTTCACTCAAGAGTGTGAGCACTCAGCAACAGCGGTTCACGTCCTGGCCTGAGCTGAGCTGCCAAGAGGTGGCAGGATGGTTCAGCTAAAAAAAAAAAGAAATTGCTCTCCTGTCTCATATCATGCAAGAAAACCAACCTAAGATGCATAATTGGCCAAAATGTGAAAAGCAAATTAATAGCACTTTTTAGAAGATAATTGGAGAATATCTTCATGATCTTGAGTCAGAAAATGATTTCTTAAACAAGTTACAAAATGTGCTAAACAATAAATAAAATATTGACAAATTATATTACATTTAAGTAAAAATTACTGTATAACAAATAATATCACTGAGTGAAACATAAAGCCATAGGAGAAGATGTTTGTAATGCATATAATTAATAATTAGTGTACAGAATATATAAACAAATATTTCAAATCAATAGGAAAAATCCTGAGCATACAACAGAAAAATGGGCAAAGTCTTGAAGAGGCACTATAGAAAAAAAAAAAGAAATGTCCAATAAACATAAAAAAACCCTCAACCATTAGTTTTGAGGGAAATGCAAATTCAAGTCACAATGAGATACCATTGCTAACATACAATAATGGCAATAATTTAAAAGTGTGGCACTACCAGATATTGATAATACTGTGGAGCAACTGGACCTCTAATAAATTATTGCTGGTAGGAGTATAAATCGGTATGCCCACTTTGGGAAAGTTGCCACTATCACAGATGATAATATGTATAGCCTAATATAGCAATTCCACTCCTAGGCATATGCCCTGCAGAAATGCATGCTTATGTGCTCTAAGATGCATGGTCAAAAATGCTGACAGCAGCATGGCTCACAATAGGCAAACACTGGAAACAATGTAAATAACTACCAGAAGAAAAATAGATAAATACATTTTAGAGCATTAAGACAACAGATCATTTTACAGCAATGCAAATGGATAATTTAAATTTGCATGTAACAACAGATAATGCTAAGTGGAACACAGATCGAAAAGAAGACATATTGTAGTATTCCATTTTATAAAGTTCAAAAGCAGACAAATCTGACCTATATGGTTTAGGGATATGTTATTAAATGGTAAAATTGTGAAGCAAAGCACGAAGTGATTACTTTAAAAGCTATGGCATGATTACCTTTAAGAGAGAGGAGATGGGTTGCATTTGGATGTGAAGGCTACCTGGAGTGTTGGTAATGTTGTGTTTTTTGAGCTGGGTAGTTGTTACCTGGAGTGTTCACTTTACAATAATTTGATAACTTATGTTTTTTAATTCTTTACATTTGGTTATATTTCAAAGTAAAAATATTTAGAAGATAAATAAATGTATAAGGCTCATAAAACTTTGCAGAAAGTGTTCACCAAAAATCTCTATGCTAACACAAATTATGACAGAAAAGTATGCTTCAAAGCACATGCAGGGCGGCCGGGTGGCTCAATTGGTTACAATGCGAGCTCTGAGCAACAGGGTTGCCAGTTCGATTCCTACGTGGGTCAGTGAGCTGCACCCTCCGCAACTAGATTAAGGACAAGTTGAGCTGAGCTGCCACTGACCGGCTGGTGGATGGCCGGATGGCTCAGTTGGTTAGAGCACATGCTCTTAACAACAAGGTTGCTGGTTTGATTCCCGCTTGGGGTGATGGGCTGCGCCCCCCACAACTAGATTAAAGGACAACAACTTGACTTGGAGCTGATGGGTCCTGGGAAAAACACACTGTTCCCCAATAAAGTTAAAAAAAAAAGAAATACTTGCACATAAACATTTGTGAAACTACCCACATAAAGCACAAAATGCACAATATGATAAAATATTAATTTTCAACAATTCTTTTCAACCAATTCACCTGAAATTGCAATAAAGGAACTGCATAAGAAGAAAAGAGAGTGTGTGTGTGTGGCTTGGGAGGGCGGGTGGAGATTACTATTAGGGTATGAGAGAGGTTAGAGCAATCAGCTCTATTCCTCTAATTAAGCAGTTATATAGGAAAGGAAACTAACTTTTCTCCCTCCTTGACAGTGACTCATCACAACTTTCTACACTGTAAGAGAAGCACGTCAGTGTTCAAGTTACCAGGGCATTACAAAAAGCTGATATGCATCAGAGAAAAATCAGAACTGAAAGGTACAGATCGCAGGGAGCATAAGAGAAATTTTCTCATTTCCATTTCCATTCAAATTCATAATCTGGTTTAAACTATATCATCAATAAACCAGGAGAGATTAAAATAACATAAAATGAGAATATGGCACAAGAATGAATATCAGTAAATTGAGAGAATTATTTCTCATAACTGTAACCAGTTGAATAACTGAAGGATATAACAACACATTTATGGGGCATTTTTGGCATCTAATAATATTAACTTAATTTCATTTCCTTTGATTCAGAGATATCATAAGGACTGTTTCCTTCTAGAATATATAGCTTTACTGAAGCATCTTTATCTCTTATTTTTCTGGAATTTATAAAGTCTCATTTGGGAGAATAAGAAAATGTTTGAGAGTTTTACCATACTTTTTTGCCCCCTTCAGTTAAAATGTCCTGCAAAAGGCTTTGTTATGGAAACACTTAAAGTATGAATGTAAATAGATGTAGAGATGTTGAAAAATAACTATAAGATTCTCAAGAATAAACGACCAAATGTGCAAGTTTTATGGAGAAAATGATAAAACTTGATTGCAAGATCTGTAAGCCAACCTACTATGACTTGGCTGTGTGACTCTCACCCACCAGGTGACCTGTGACTCTTCTGTTTGGTCCTTTTACTTGGGCTCAACACCTGCACTCCTCAATTAGCTCAGGCTTTCACACTTTGGGCCAGTCTGCCACTCCACCAGGATCCTCCCTGGAATTCAGTGGGAATCCACACACTTACAACCCTTCCCACCCCCACCCACTGCTTAGGCTGTAAATCCCTGTGGTGGTAATTATGCACCCTTCCCCCCACCCTCACCCCCATACATTCACGCATACACATGTGAAAACTAACTTGCTTTTTTTTTTTTT